AAAATACGGTAAACGAACTAGATGAGAAAAAACAACAAGAAATCTTCAGGGAGTTGGCTAATTTTAAAACCAGTGGACGTTAACAGCTTTTGTATGGAAAGAAGAATTAGTGACCGTATTGAGGGGATAAAGATATTACATCTTCCTCAAATTTCTGATCATACTTTGCCTCTCATTCCGACATTAAGAGGCCTGTCGTAAAGAGGCGAAAGGCGTTGTGTGGAGAGCTTTTCCATTTTGACTTATTCTCATTCTTTATATATATATATATATAGTGTGTATTTAGGCAGCATCTTTTTATTCATACACGTTTCATTAAATAATATAGACAAGTGTTGTCTATTTATTTTATGTAAACTCTTTTCATAACGTCTAATAAGTTTAATAACATTATAATTGAACGAAGAAACCCCTCTCTATAGCTCTAACATTCGTCCCACATTCTAATACTTACACTCTCTCTAAATTTTATTTTTTTATTTCCGAAGTTGTTTTTTCTGTTTTCTTTTTGAATTTGTAGGTCTGATGATTTGGATCGTATTTACGATTCCAATGGAATAAATTATGACCACGGAATATTAGTGTTTAAGCCTTTTTATTATATCCTTACTCAGTCCTGGACATTGAGTTCTACCTGGATTCTATCCTCTTGGAATTTTTTATTCAAAAAATATACATTTATGTGTATGCACCTATGTATATATATTTATATATTTTGCATATGTATGTGTATATTTACCACTAATATTAGGTATCTATCTATCTATCTATCTATCTATCTATCTATCTATCTATCTATCTATCTGCATGTATGTTTGTATTTACACACAGACACACACACACACATATATATGTATATATATAGTAATGTTTATATATATATATTTTATACTCTTGTGGAACTTGCTATTTTCACCCCCTTTTAAATCTTAATTGTTTATAATTAAAATTTATCTCATTTTAATCGCGTTCCAACTTTCCCCTCATCATTTATTATATTGAGTGTGTCTTTTTGTTCCAATTTGCCAAAGTATACCTTTGAATAAGTGTTGATCGAAAGGTATAACATGACGTCCGTTTTGTATATATATATATATATATATATATATATATATATAACCAGCGTAGGTCTCATGTTTGATTGGTTAATCACGGTAAACCCAGAAGACTCATTTTTATTCTGTTTCTTTTCATTTTTTTTTTTGCTTGCTACTGTTAAACCCTGACCGAGCACGTTATACAATATCATCACAAAAGCAATATTAGCACAAGACGGTATGCCAACTATAAGTGGGGGTGGGTGGGGAAGAACACTTCAGAGAGTAGGCTAATTTCAAAACCAGTGGATGTTAACGGCTTCGGTACAGAAAGAAAAAAAAAGAATTTCTGGCATTAGCTATGGGATAAAGATATTACCTTTTCCTCAAATTTCTGATCTTACTGACATGTTTGGCTCTCACTCCGACAGGAAGACGCCTGCCGTAAAGAGTCGAAAAGCCTTGCCTGGAGAGCTTTTCCACTTATTTTCACTCTCTCTCTATCTATCCTATATATATATATATATATATATATATATATATATATATATATATATATATATATATATGTTGAAACTTGACTAATGCATGGAATAATAATGCAACACAAAATGTACTTAGAACAAAATGTATTGAAACAAGAAAGTGTACACAATATTTACATATAGTCTTTGTATATTCCTGGTAAGACCGTTCCTGGAGAATGTGTTGACTGAGTCGCAGTCGGGCAGAGTCTCTGGTTGAATCTCTTGATTCCTCCCTCTTCCCGGTACCAACCATATTTATATGGTCGGTACTCCCACTATGCAAATTAGGTGGATCCTACCACAACAATATATATATATATATATATATATATATATATATATATATATATATATATATATATAGGTAAATGTTCTGTTTATAATAAACAGTATTAAATATATTTACCCATCTGAACGTCTGAGAAATTTCATAGAAATTACTGTTTTTTACATGAGCGTTCGAGAGAAATCATGGAAAATTTGTAGTTTAAAATCAGTAATTTCACCTTGCTAACCAGACGCTTCCTCTGTAGCTAAATGTTATAGCACGTCAGACTATATGACGGTTCCGTGTAGAATACACTGCTGTAGTTCACTGCTACTGACAAGAAGGAATTTTTCTCCTGATGATGGCCATGGTGGCCGAAACTAGTCGCGGAAACCTAAAAAATGTTAACATACAACCCAGTATGTCCGAAAATTTTAAGTTTTTAATTGTACATAACATATATATATATATATATATATATATATATATATATATATATAGAGAGAGAGAGAGAGAGAGAGAGACATCCACAGACAGACTGTTTCTCTGTATCACAGCTCCTCAGTGTGGTTAGACGTCCGATTGCTTCAAGTCGGGATCGAAAACAGACTGATTTCACATCAGACAGATAGCTTACCTCTAGCCCATCATCGCACGGAAGAGAAGGAAAGGACTTTTAACTTCTTTCTCTATACTAAACACGCCAGCAGCTCATAGAACTGAATTCAATTTTACTTGAAGAGTAATGCATGATAAAAACCAATGCTTTAAAACAACCTTTTTCCCTAGAGAGCTCAACCGGATTTCATATATAGTCATCCACAGACAGACTGTTTTGCTGTATCATATATATATATATATATATATATATATATATATATATATATATGTATATATATATGACGTCATTTGTTTACATTTGGATACGCATCGAGCAGATATGAATGTATGAGAGAAAATGATGGAGAATTGTAGTTTAAAAACATTAAACTCGACCTTGCTAACTATTGTGAGACCGTAACATACCTACAACATGGACTCTCCCAGGACTATATAAAGTATGCGACGTAACACTCTAGAGAGAAGAAGAAGAGGAGGAGAGAGAGAGAGAGAGTATTCTAATACCGTAGTATCAACCGCGTACGACTACTAATATTGGACACTAGCACGTAGTAAGCTCCGCTTACACTTACACTATCTTTGTGACCTTTTTGTTTAATATATCTTTCTTACCTCTAATCCGTGTTCCGTGTTTTCCTTCCGTGGTCCCAACTTTGGGTCCACATCACTAGCCGAAACGCTCCTCTGTGGCTCAATTGGTAAAAGCACGTCGGGCTCTATGATGGTTCCGTAAAGGATACAGGTTCGATTCCTGTCGGAGGACGCATATTTTCTATGAAAATTTCTCGGACATTCAGGCCGGTAAATGTTGTTGATACTTTTATTATAAACAGAGTATTTACTTAAATATTTTTATCTATAAAAGAACGTATATATATATATATATATATATATATATATATATATATATATATATATATATATATATATATATATATATATATATATATATATATATATATATATATATATATTTAAACAAATTTTCGACACGACAGAATTTATATAGAGATAGAAAAAATGTAGAAAAGGATTCTTTTTACGGATCCTTTTCAACCAGAACATTGTCAGAAGAATATGTTGGTAAAGATTAAATTGACAGAATAAAAATTCGGACTGCGAAAAAAAGAAACATATAAAGAGGAGAAAAAAGGAACCATGACTAAAATACAATTGTATCAATAAAACCAGGGGCAAGAAAATATATGTTGTCAAAAATGTCAAGACGAAGGGTTCCTTGCGAGTACAATATGGAAGAAATTCATTCACATACCTTCTAAAAGAGAGTGAACAAAAGGCTCCTTCTGTCTGCACAGAGACTGTTGATGTAATTTAATAAAACCGCTTCTAATATGCCTAAAGCTGAGTGGATTGAGTTCTGCACGGGACAGTAAACGAATCAGCAGTATATCTTTCTGTACACTCCGGATTGCCTAGAAAATGGTGACCAATGGCTGAGTCGTGAACAGACTGGGTACAACGTGTACTGCAATAAAAATAGCCTGTCTTATATTTACAGGAAATTGTTGCTAGATCCAGTTCCTTTTTTTTCGCATCCTTAATTTTTTTTTCTTTTCTCGCAATGTGAATTGTTATTCTGTCTGTTTAATATTTACCATCTTATTCTTTTGACGAAGTGTTGGTTGAAAAGGTCCCTTAAAGAAGAATGCTTTTCTGCGTTTTCAAATCTATCTATCTATCTATCTATCTATCTATCTATCTATCTTCATCTATCTCAGTCTGTTCATATTCATTCATCTATCTATTTCATCTATCTATCTATCTATCTATCTATTCATTCATCTGTTTTAATATTGTTTCATATCTATATCTATCTATCTATCTATCTATCTCATTTTGTTCATATCTATTCATTTATCTATTTATCTATCTAACTTTGTTCATGTCTATCTATCTATCTATCTCACTTTGTTCATATCTATCTATCTATCTTATTATCTATCTATCTATCTATCTATCTATCTATCTATCTATCTATCTATCAGTCTGTTCTTCATACGTTTCATATCTATCTATCTATCTATCTATCTATCCATCTATCTATCTCAGTCTGTTCATATTCATTCTATCTATCTATCTATCCATCTATCTATCTATCAGTCAGTCTGTTCTTCATATTTTTTTTTCATATCTATCTATCATCTATCTATCTATCTCAGTCTGTTCATATCTATCTATCTATCTATCTATCTATCTATCTATCTATCTATCTATCTATCAGTCTGTTCTTCATACGTTTCATATCTATCTATCTATCTATCTATCTATCTATCTATCTATCTATCTCAGTCTGTTCATATCTATCTATCTATCTATCTATCTATCTATCTATCAGTCTGTTCTTCATACGTTTCATATCTATCTATCTATCTATCTATCTATCTATCTATCTTGATGTGCCAAAAGTAATGGGATTGATTATAGGTATAGAATAGAACCTCCTCTAAAACTACGAAGGACAGCATGTCGCTGGAAAGATACTGAACTGTGCTGTCTCGCTTCCTCCTCGTTATACCGTGTCCCCTCATGACGTAGGCGATAATGGCTCTCCTTTTCTCCTATCCTTTTATTTTTGTTTCTTTTATTTTTTAAGTTATTAATACAATTTTTTTGGTTTTAGTCTTTCTTTCTTTTGATATTTTATTTAATTTGAAAATATAGTCCTTTCTTTCTTTCTTTTCTTTTTCTTTTTTTCTTAATTTAGTCATACTTTGTTTTTCTTCGTTAATTTTTGTTTCTTTTTTTTTAAAGTTGCTAAGACAATTCCTGTGTTTTTAGACATTTTTCTTTCGAAATTTTTATTTAATTTAGAAATACAGTCCAGTTCTTCTTTATTTATTTCTTCATTTCTTCATTCTTTCTTTCTTTTTTCATTCATTTTTCTTCTTTTTTAATTACTGATACAATTCCTTTGTTTCTACATTTTCTTTCGATTTTTATTTAATTTGCTAATTCATTTCATTCTTTCTTTATTTATTTCTTTATTAATCATTCTTTTTCCCTTCTTCCTTCATTTTTGTTTCTTTTTTTAAAATACTAATACTATACCTTTGTTTTTAGCCTGTATTTCGTTAATATTTTTATTTAATTTGGTAATACAAACATTTCTTTCTTTTTTTATAGCCATTCTTTGTTACTTTCTTCATTAATTTTTGTTTCTTTTTTAGAATTCCTCATAAAATTGCTTTTTGTTTTTAGTCTTTCTTTCGATATTTTTTTTATTTAATTTGGTAATACAGTCTTTAATTTCATTTTTACTTTATTTTATTTTATCATTCCTTCTTTCTTCATTCATTTTTGTTTCTTTTTTTTAATTCTTAATACAATTCCTTTCTTTTTAGACTTTCTTTCAATATTTTTTTAAATTTTGAAATACTTTTTTTTTTTTTATTTTTAATTAATGTCCAATACAATTCTCCTTATATTAATATTTTTCTATTTTTTTTTGGTAATAACATAATTTTATGCTTTACCGTTTTTCTAGACTTTTGTATTTGCTTTTCTCTTTCTTTAGTCTAATTTTTCTTTGATTGAAATTGGTAATACAATTCTATTTCTATTATCTAGAATATTTCTTCTATTTTTCTTTTGCTGTCTTCCTTACTTTATTTATTGATACAATTTTTTGACTCATTTGATTCAGTCAAGCTATTGTCCTGGCCTTGATTATTATGCACACAGCATTTCGGACAACAACCTTCCGGTCATCGTTAGGTTTCCTTTCGTTTGAAGTATTTGTCTAAATCAAAGTATATTGAACAATCCTTATCTCAAAAATCACTTTTACTTTTCAGACCATTCATTTTTAGTACAATTCTTATATTTGTTCGTTTCTTTTTTCGCCATTTATTACTACAAATATTTTATTTATTTATTTCTTACTATCTTTCTTTCTTTTTTCTTTCTTTCTTTCTTTCTTTGTTAATACGAATCTTTTCTTTCTTTCCTTCTTTTTTCCTTCTTTCTTTCTTTCTTTCTTTCTTTCTCCTTCCTTTCTTTCTGTCTTTCTTTCTTAATACAAACCATTTCTTTCTTTGCTAATACAATTCTTTGATTTTTAAACAATTCTTTCTATCTTTCCTTCTTTTTCTTTGCTGATACAGTTCTTTAAATTCTTTTAATCATTATTTTCTTTCTTTCTTTCTTTTATTTTCTCAATTTTTCTTTCCTTTACATTCTTGTAATTGAGAGTTCAGTATTTTTGATTCCTTCAAGAGTCAATCTGTTTTTTCTTCTCTCAATTTCTGTTCATTCTTTTCTATTTTCCCCTTGACTAAACTTGTTCTGTTTTTTTTTTATTTTCCTTCTTTTAGACTTCCTGCCATTCACGCTGCTATTTTTCAAGAATAACCACATTTGCACCGGTTCGACCCCTTATTAATCTTTGACGCTTTGACGTTTTTTTCTTCAGGTGAGCAGACCTTTACTTTTTTATTGTATTTCAAATTGAAAGCAGCATACCCAAATATTCACACAAAAGAACAGGTATAAGTTTTTGATTATTTTCCACTTTTGAAGACATAATTTTCGTTTTTTCTCATCTATTCAATCACCATATTTAAATTTGTTAAACATTTTTTTATGTACAAATTTCAGTGATTTGTTAATAGATATATTTGTTTCTATTTAATAAAATGTTACAAAAACTTCGTCGAAAATTAACCCTAGCGTTGCTAAATAGTGATATTACCATGGTAACGAATTTGTCTTATATGTTTTAACTTTTTTAATGAGGGTCATTAAGAGCAAAGCTTTGACAAACAGAATAAAAATTTAAACGGCTAACTAGGTTTGGCATCAAATATATATATGTTAAATATAAAAGAACCTATATAGCATTCTTTTCATTCTTTCTTGCATAATACATATAAAATGCAATTAAAATGTTGCCAAACAACAAAAAAATGGAAAATCTGGAGGTTTTCATTAATTTAATAATCCCAGAAAAATATATATATATATATATATATATATATATGCTGTTCCATTGTGCCATTCTGCAGAAAAGTATTTGTTTCGCTGTATAACAGCACTTCAGTGCGACTAGACATCTATATATATAGCATTTTATATATAGTAGACGGTGCAAATGTGGTTATTCTTGAAAATAATGGCATGTGGTGAGTCTCTCCAATGTGAATGGAAGGAAATCTAAAAGAAGGAAAATAAACACAGAACAAGTTTATTCAAAAGAAAATGTCTATATATATATATATATATATATATATATATATATATATATATATATATATATATATATATATATATATATAGATAACTAGACTCATCCGTTTCTGGGAAAACTCAACTGTTCCTTTGACGAATTTTTGATTTGCTAATCAAATCAATCTCGAGGGAAACCTAAGTATATACAATACATACATTCATATATACATATATATATATATATATATATATATATATATATATATATATATATTGACATTTATATATACACACACACACACACACACACACACACATATATATATATATATATATATATATATATATATAGCATTATATATAGTAGAAGATCACCCCCAACTTCCAACAAAGGGTCTTTTTTATTATTGAAAAATAACAGTGTGAATGGAAGGAACCTTAAAGGAGGCAACAAAAAAAAAAGAATATGTTTAGTCATTTAAAGATATATATATATATATAGAAATTTGCTTGAGATCCGAAACCCAAAGTTTGCAAAAACATCAAATTGAATAATTTCGCCATATTACTAATTTTTCACGCAAGATCGGTAACGACATAAAAATTTTGGGTGATTTTCCAAGCGTAGCTCTAGATGTGGCCAAGACGGAAAGTACAGGATATGAGAACAGGAGGATCGAACTCGTAATAATAATTCATCTTATTCAGTGCCTGGTGACGGCAGACCTCTCTCAGTCTCTCGTGGCCGATTTCTTCTCAGGTGCTCCTGGCCTCCTATTCGAATGACTTCCACCGCAAGTGGCCCATCCGACACATGTCAACATCTTGCTTTCTTTCGAGCTCTACAAGTAACCATCCCCTTGTTCTAACCATTACCCTCCCCTCTTAATTCGAGGTCTCTTGGGCTCAGCCTTTATCAACACCAGATGAGTGTCCTTTTTACCTAAGCGTAAGTCTTAGATGTGGTCCTCGCACACCAGGACCCGAGAATGCCATCCTGGGACCCTTCTTCTATTGTTAGGGTCACTCCCAGTGACCCTCTGATTCCATGCAGGGTGAACCCCCTTCTTCCAGCCCTCCTGACTTGGTGTCATATCCCGCCCTGGCTCTCTCTGGCCAGCTCTGTGATCTAGCCAGACAAGGAATGCTAATGACGATAGCCTTCCCAACTCAAAAATTCTCCCAGGGTCTCCTCCCAAGCTGTGTTAGTTTAAAGGGCCTCATGGCCTCACCATGAACTCTTTGGTCAGCAGTTTTTACTTCTTCCCAAGGCCAAGCAGGGATGAAAACTCCGACCTTTTTCCTTTGTAGCATCAAGGATATCCTATGATGATTCAGCTCTTTTCGAGGATTGTACGTTAGTATGTCTACAGAGGCAACAATTAATAATCCTACCTTACTCATTATAATTAATGGCAAATCCAGTCTTCTCAGGGCGAAAAATCCTGGTCACGGCACCAATGGCCAGTGTCGGATCGCTGGTTACGCTGGCGCCAGCGGTGACGTCAGCTCTCCTGGTTTTTACCGCTCAACCCTTTGGTCAGATGAGTATTTTTGGTCTTATCTCGGTTTTTGCTGTGTTTGCTTAGAAATGTCAAATTCTCCAGGCAAACAAATAAAATAAAACTCGACACCAAAACAAAAACAAAAAAAGAAAAAACAATATGTACAATAGAAAAAATTTACCTATACTTTTCTTTATTTCAGGTGTGGTTCAGTTCGACACTGAGGCTAATAATCGATTTAGTTGATTCTTCTCTGACTCCAGGTTGTATTTCTTTAAGTTTTCCTGTTTCAACTTGGTGGAAGATTTCTTGTTCAACAGTGGAAGATTTCTGCTTCAATTCAATTGGGGGGATGTCTTCAACTTGGGTGAAATTTTCTTGTCTTCCAGGCAAGATTTCTTGTTCGGGGATTATTTGTCGTCCGTGAACTGTGAATATAAGAAACTGAACGGAAATTGGAACTCGGCTCTCCGATTAACAATTCAGAAACATTATTCATTACACCATCCGCACATCCAAGCTTTCAGTACCTGGCATTCCTGAGCAGTCACCCATTTAGGTACTGACCAGACTCGATGTTGCTTAATTTAATGATCCTAGCCATTATTTTGAATTCACAACAATTCGTCTGGAATTCTTACTATTTTAATATTAGCTATAGGGTAAGGAGAGATAGGTTCATGCCTTCGGTGATCGTACCAGAACCGTTGTTTCAACGTGATGTGACAGTAAGTAGATGAAAAGGAAACTTGAGTGAATAGAGATTCCGTTCTGCAGAATGATGCTGAGGATACCATGGTTTAAAGATGTGAGCAACGAAGGAATAGAAATAAAAAAAGGTCACTTCTACGGAGAATAAAAAAAAGACAGAAAGAATATGGAACAAAGTGTCAGGTACACCCATTTAGGTATTGACCAGGATCACAGTTTATCAAAAGGAAAACGAAAAATAATTTCCTTGTATACTGAACAAACCTGCAAAGCAAGTGCTGAAACTATTACCGATGATATTATCAGTGCTGAAAATTCTGCAACTTTAATAAAACCTCCGGAGAAATAATTAGCGATAGTTTGCTAATAGCCATGTTTGTTCTAATGCTTGAAAATGCTTTTCCCTTCCCAATTTGTAGGTAGAAGCAAACAAATATATGCTGGGATTTCTTCCGAGCCAATAAGATGGGTTATTTGACGGTTTCATCTGACACAGTCCCGTAAGGTCTTGCCTTGAAGTCAGAACGCTACGTTTGCTCATGCGAACTTGCTCTTGTGTGTCAACCCCAATTCTTAGTTTGCTTTGCCTTATTGCTGTTGCTTTGCTTTATCCCTGTTAATTTGCTTTGCATATATTGTTTGCTTACTTCATATTATTTTTACCCTTTTATTTTCTTTTCCTTGTCATTGTTTATTGCAATCTTTGTCAATTCAATTCTATTTGCTAGGCAGTTCTGCCATTTATATACTTTTAACCAGGGCCACTCACTCTACACTATTGCTACTCTATTGCTATTTCCAAAGCAAATATTTGTATAAGCTCCATTCTTTAGTGCCAACAGCTCAGACCGTTGCAGCTAGAACACGCCATGTGATTTGCACAGTAAAGGCGGAGGGAAGCAATGTCAGGGAGAAAGTGAGTGAAATCGAGATGCCAGGTCAGTATTGATTAGATTATATTTAATAAAAATATAAATATAACATAAATATATTTCATAATGACCATAGATTTATTTCAATTAAGAGAAGGTGCAATGATTTGTTCTTCTGGAGGTCAGCATCAGCCATTTTGATGGAGGGCAAAGGTAGATCTCTATGACGATGAAAAGATAGCTGTTTAATTTTGGAAGCTATAAAATTTACAAACAATTCTTACCCCGTTAGGACAAAAAAAAAGCATTCACGTAAACAGGAGATAGCGATTGACACTGTATTTAAATTTTTGAAAAATCGTAAATGGCAGGGAAGCAAGAAATCGGGAGAGTTCCACAGGCAAGAAGTGAGAGAGAAGAAAATATTAGAATAGAACTTACGGTTGCAGCTAGCTAGATCAACAGTAAAATGGTGAGATCCATTTGACAAACTAATCGTACGCTTAAATTCATGCAGTTGAAGCACAAATGAGGAAAGCTCATCAGAACAATTGCGATGAAAATATTTATAGAAAAGGCGGAGGGAAGCCATGTCAGGAAGAAAGTGGCTGAAATTTAGATGCCAAGTCAGTATTGATTACATTACATTTAATAAAAATATAAATATAACATAAATATGTTTCAATTAAGAGTTTTTTATGCAATGCAACTGAAAAATATGAAAGAAATGATTGAGAATGCTTCATCGAATAAAATCCAAGATAATTTTGATATTCTTTAATAAATGCAAATGTATTTCTAATAATCGCTTTCCAAAATAAAAATAAAAAACTTAATAATATTTTACATTACATCGCCTAATAAAAACCCAAGTTAATATTACCACTTTGTTTCATAATGTTTCATATTGCATCGTCTAATAATCCCCCCATGAACATACTTCTCCCCATGAACCTGTTACTTGTTGAAACTGATCCCGCAAGGGTGTATCCCTAATCATTACACTCTTAACTTCTTACTCGGAACTTTCACCAATCGTGATGAATGGATGTTCCCTCAGGGAGGCCCCGTGCCTTGGGACTTAAACTTAATCCAGACCTCAAGGGAAACTCCTACATACGATCCATCGCTAAAAATACTGGGAAAATGATCATTTTCTGTACAGTTCCAGTAAGCACTTCACTCCTCTCGCTATGCTTTACCTTTAAAAGAGCCAGTTCAGGCCGAAAATAGAGTATGTCGGCCATATAAGGACGAGTGCTGCCCGGTCTTCACTTTCAATTCTCGACGTCTCAGCATCGTTGAAGGCGACGAATTGTTTCCCACCCTGCAACACCTTTCTCACGGACGAAAAGTCACAAGCCTCTTTCTGTTCTATCGCTATTTCCATGGTGAATGTTCAGATGAACTACACTCCTTAGTTCCACCTATCCTAACCTTCACGACTAAGATCCGTCATGCCACACACATTGTAGCGAACCACCCTTATTCCTTTCATATTTCCCCGGTGTGATGCAAGTTCTTCTCAAGCAGCTCGTGGAACCGACTCCCTAGAAGCTGCTTCCCGATGACTACAATCTTAACCTGTTCAAGTCTAGGGTTAACGGTTATTTTTCGCATATACCCCATAAGCTTTACCTCTTACTATGCAACCGTCTACCTCGAGTGGCTTCAGGATCCTTTTTCATTCATACAGAACATCTCATTTATCGTAACAATTTTAACTGCAACCATCAAGAAGGGGCCCATTAAAAAAAACAAAAAACAAAACAGAAAATTTATTATCACTATTTATTATCACTATTTACATTATTCGGACTATTATCCTCAACTTTTTTTATTACAACGTTTCGGCCGTTGTACACTCCGGCCTTCTTCAGGTGGTTGGAATGTCGAACTGAACCCTTTTATTTCGCTCACTGGGGTAGACTGTTCTAGTTCCATGAGCCATGTTTAATGGATGTCAGTTATCAGTTATCTCCTGTTAATTCCCCTCTCCAAGTTCTCCACCGCCTTAACCGGGTATTGAACTCAAACTCTTTGGGTCCGGTCACTGGATCTAACCAACGCCTTTATCCACTGTTCAATGTGTCCTTGAGGACATCTGTGTATGGATTTCTGGGTATTATAAACCTAATGTCTTCAGCAAAAATTTTTTACCAGTGCTCGTAATGCAATTTTTGCTGTTATCATTGCATGTTTTTACCAGAGCTCTTATTGCAATTTTTGTTGTTATTATCGCTTTTCTCTGGCACTCCTTATTACTGGTTCCCATATTGTATTTACTTCTATACTTGATCGGCTCAGGAGATTTTTGTGGCCTAGCATATGTGCTAATTCATTAAGTTTATGAATTTTCCATTGGCCTTCTTTGTCTATGATCTCAACCTGATCACACAGAGGGCGGTGATCTCCCTTTTCTCTCCATATATGGTCAGTCACGCCTGATTTTTCCACTTCCCCTCGTGTTACAGCTTTCTGGTGTTCTTGAAGCCTTACCTTAACCGAAACGTTGTAATAAATATGGCGGTAAAGATGAGGACAATAGTTCGAATAATGTAAATAGTGTACATAATACCTCATCTCAGAAATAGAGACAGATACTATTTCAGGAATAATTGACCTTGAATAAATTTCTTGGATATTCATGACTTTGTATAATCATTTGACTTTCACGTAATTACTTAACTCTGATTGGTTCTTTTATATTTGATTAATTGCTTCTTGATCTTGTGACTCGCCATTTAAAGATTATTTGCAGACAACTTTCGTTCTGCCCTTTTCGGCTAAAAAAGAACTCACTGATTTTGAGCGCCAAGTTATCGTACTTTTCGAAGAAGAACTTTCGACGTGGGGATTGGCGAAATGTGCAGAAAATCTTCCTGAATTTTTCAGTCAGTCGTCACCAGTTTTCAACGGTTGGGTCACGTCTTGTTGAATTTACCGCTTTTTTTCCCACATATCTCATGGCTTCTGCACCGAAATACCGTGGTCGAAATTTTTCAATATTTCTAGTATTTTGCTTTAAATGCCATAAGGAGGGTTAAGTATAATGTGCCACAGCGCGATGTAAAAAATTAAGTTATCTCGCGCCACACAACGCCGCTTGAGGCCGCCCAGTAAATTAGACAGGTAATCAGGTGAAGTTCAAATAAGTGTTTGTAATTTTCTCCGGATATAAAGATATGCCGGATCATCAGTTGCAGAGGTTACTGGTGAAACTGGACTTGATTCAGTTGCTTTTTCTTGCAAATACTTGGAAAATACTTCCGGCCATCAGTAAAAAGATAATAATGTTAACTTGAATTTTGTTCAAATAAAGTATTGTCAGTCATTATTCATTTTTGTTTAGTATTTCTCTGTTATTCATACCAAATACTTAAAATGCAATCGTACGGTTGATACGATAAATGTAATGACAATATCATTAATATTATCGCCGTCCTGGGTATGACGATAAAGTACATCCGGCAGCAAGGCCTTTGATTAGGAGGTTTTGAGGATCGTGGAAGTACAACATAATTGCTGATGTTCCCAAGTCCTCCCTGCCGCCCCGGGGTGATAGCATCAGTCAGAGTTCAAGCTATGCGCAAATAGTTACCCCCCCCCCCAAAGGAGTCAAAACTCTATGAAAGTATAAAAATAGGTTTTAATACCAGCAATACTTTTTTGGTAAAATTATTACCAGCAATACTTTTTTGGTAAAATTATTACCAGCAATACTTTTTTGGTAAAATTATTACCAGCAATACATTTTTGAAAAATATTACCAGCAATAAATTTAAAAAAAAAAAATGACCAGCAATGCATTTTTGAAAAAAAAATATTACCAGTCAGTTATGTGTCATGCGTGATATATGTTTAGGTGATCTTGTATCTATCGATACATGACTGACGAGGCTGATTTTTTCCAGCAGTAGGTTGCCATTTCTTTCTGCGGTAGACCATTTGCCGTCGAAGGCTATAGAACCCGGTCTGTTCTGCTATTACACCCATAACTGGGCGGAGAAGAATAGGATTTATACCTTTCCCAATGGTATTAGCACGTAAGTGAATGTAAAGGATTTGACTGGAATTCGAACTCGGCTCTCCGATTCCTCAATCCGAGCCGCTATTGCATACATTTTTTAAAAAAATATTAGCAGCAATACATTAAAAAAAAAAAAAATCTTACCAGCAATAAAAATTCTTGTCAGCATTAAATAACCCATTCAGGTTGATGTACCGTAAAGCCAAGCAAACCAAACCAATTAATGTTGTTAACAAGTCTTAATGTTTGGCTAGTATTTTTTTATCGTTAATATTTAATGCTTCTCCTCGCAAATATTTGAACGCAATTAGTTAAGCTGTTATAATATCAACGCTAATAGTTATAAGATGAAGCATTATTAACCATTATGAATATTTTACGATAAATATTTTCATGTTAATTTTAGTTTTTCATCGTATATACATAGAACCACATTTATATTAGTACTCGAGTACTCATGTCGTCAAAAATGACGGCCATAGTTATAAAGTTTGAGTAGTGAGATGCAATAAAACAAAAGTCTTGAAACAATGTATTGAAATTCAATAAAGTGGAGATAAAAAAAATTCTCAACTAAAATAGAGGCCAATGAACCGTTTAATGATTCCGTTCCCATCATATTTCTTAGATGTTTAATGGTATCTATGAGCCATTGGTTACGCCTGGTATTATATAAATCGCTTTTTTGCTCAATATATTTTGCTGTTAAAAGTTTTATGTGTTTTATTATAACAGTGAAATGGAAATATCTCTCGGAAGTAAAAGATTAACAACAGAACGAAAAAGACGGCGATGGGAAAGTATCTTCAAGACTAACTTGAAGCAAGACGATGACTTAAAAGAAAAAAAAAGGTATCTGAATGCCTCATATGAAGGGCTTAAACAAATAAGGCTACAATTTAAGAAACGTAGGAATAAAGGTATTGGTTATTAAAACTTTTTTTTTCTCGGGAGCTAATTATGTATAACTGCAGAGAAATGTTTTATTTGCATAGATTATTTAAATGTCTAAGTAAGTAAGCACTCATTAATTTACTATCTTAAGTTGATTTACCCACCAATTCAAGATCATCATTTTTCTTTAGGACACATTTTCCTGAAGAAAAAATTGACTCGAAATGATAGTAAGCTTAAGAAGGAGGTACTCATATCCTTTTTCGGTTACTTACAGCAAAAGTTCCTCGATTTTTGTGTCTTCCGACAGTTTATGGTCTGTCATAAATTCCATCATATGATTTTGGATTGTTTCAATTTTTTTTTTAATGATATACAGATCCAAATGCCTAAACCTTTTTCTACGAAGATTATTAACAAACTGGTAATATTAACTTGAGTTTTTTCCGACGATGCAATATGAAACATTATTAACAAAGTGGTAATATTAACTTGATTTTTTTACACGACGGATTGTGAAACATTATTAACAAAGTGGTAATATTAACTTGCGTTTTTATTAGACGATGCAATGTAAAATATTATTAAGTTTTTTTATTTTTATTTTGGAAAGCGATTTTAGAAATTATTATTCTGCTGTCATTAATAAACAGGTAATAATATTGAATTTTTATTTGACGAGTCATTAGTCATTTTTAGTTATTATTTTTGAATCCAAGCGGTGACATATCTCCAATACTTCCAATGTTGTTCGACAGCATTTATTAAAGAATATCAAAATTATCTTAGATTTTATTTCGATGAAGCATTATCAATCATTTCTTTCATATTTTTCATTTGCATCGCATAAAAAAACACTTAATTGAAATAAATCTATGGTCATCTTGCTTTCCTGCCACCTACGATTTTCAAAAATTTAAATACAACGTCAATCGCTATCTCCTGTTTACCTGAATGCTGCTCTTTTGTTGTCCTAACGGGACAAGAATTGTTTGTAAATTTTAAAGCTTCCAAAATTAAACAGCTATCTTTTCATCGTTATAGAGATCTACCTTTGCCCTCCATCAAAATGGCTGATGCTGACCTCCAGAAGAGCAAATCATTGCACCTTTTTGGTCTCACCTTTTCCACTGACATAAAGTGGAGCGATTGTTAGATCAATTACTAGTTCTACTGCTACAAAATTTTGTTTATGTCATGACAGACAATTTTTCTCACCAGACTCCTTCTTGAACGTTTACAAATCTACCATTTCTTCGTGCAATCAATATTGCTGCCCTATCTGGTATAGTGCTTCTGCTATATATCCTGAGATTCTCGACAAAATACTAAGGGTTTGCAATGTTATCGGTCTTGACCTGGCATATCCATTTCAGTCCCTTTCACAATGCCGTGACGAAGTTTCCCCTTCTGTCTTTTATAGAAATATTCCCATGGCAATTATTCTGATGAGCTTTCCTCCTTGGTACATCGAGCGCATTAATTGAAGCGTACTACTTTATTGGCAATTAGGTCTCACCATTTTTACTGTTAAATATAGCAAGATATAAATGTAAGTTCTATTCTAATAGTTTTTTTTACTCACTTCCCGCCTGTGGGACGCACTTCCGGTTTCTTTTTTCCTTACACACTTCAACGCCATTCGACATCTTCTGTCTTCCTAAGAACAAGCTATTTTTTCTCTGTATTTCTGATAAATGTTCTTTTATTGTCCTTTTTCCTCATTGAAGTCGTCACCTTTTCGTTCACCTCCAGTAACCCGTTGAGTCTTTGTGGTAATATCGCCTTGATTGGGGTGAAATGATGAAAGAAAATGAAGCTTAGACAATCAGATATTGTATTTGATTTTTTTTTTCATATTTTTCATTTCATATACTGAGAATATCTATAAGCAAACAAATGTTTATGTTCATTGATTATTTAATAAAAGATCGTCATTCATTAACAATATTGATTTTATCTTAATTTGCAATGCAAATATGTAAAACGTAATTTTACAGTCGCTAGTAAACAAGCAGTAATAGTATTGCGAAAGTTTCTTAACCGATGCATTGTCAACTATTATTATATTTCATGAGGATTTGGTTCATTTTAATTTAAGATGTTTTTCTTTGCATGTCATTAGAATGTCAATCGTGCTTTCATGATCTTTAGAACGTTATTTTGCGTCTAGGGAAACTTACTTGACCGTTATTATCTCATTTTGTATCTATGTATCTGTCTACCTCAAACTATAATCTATCTATCTATCTATCTATCTATCTATCTATCTATCTATCTATCTATCTATCGCAACCTACTCATTTCTATCTATCTATCTATCTATCTATCTATCTATCTATCTATCTATCTATCTATCTATCTATCGCAACCTACTCATTTCTATCTATCTATCTATCTATCTATCTATCTATCTATCTATCTATCTATCTATCGCAACCTATTCGTTTCTTTTTTCTATCTATCTATCTATCTATCTATCTATCTATCTATCTATCGCAACCTACTCATATCTATCTATCTATCTATCAATCTATCTCAATCTATCTATCTATTCTATTTCTATCGCAACCTTCATTTTATCTATCTATCTATCTATCTATCTATCTATCTATCTATCTATCTATCTATATCTATTTCTATCTATATTCGTTTCTTTTTTTCTATCTATCTATCTATCCTCAAATCTATCTAATCTATCTATCTATATATTTGTATCTATGTAACCTCAAACTATAATCATTTCTATGTATCTATCTATCTATTTCTATCTATCTATCTATCTATCTATCTATCTATCTATCTATCTATCTATGTAATTTAAACAGCAAGATTTTATTTCGTCATCATAAGTATGTTCAATCGCAATGATAATCGATTCATTGTGTTTGTCTTTCTCTCTTTCGCAATTAAAATCGATCGCCTTCTTGTGATTTCTGTAGATTCTCTTCTCTTCAACCAAATGTCTCTTTCTGCGTCGGCTTTTAGCAGTTTTCGTCAACCATAATTCCCGATTTAAATGGCCGAATCTGTCAAAGTTAAAGAGTTTACTGCCCAGAAAATCTAATGGAAAAAACATACAACATATTTTGATATTGGTCATGCAAGTGATAAATTTTCTAAAAGAGAAGTCATTTCTTTGCCAAAGACAAATTTGCAAGTTTTTTTTGCCGATTATCATATTTTATGAGAGAGCCACTGACATACAACTCTGTATTTACGAATATATGTCTATGTACATTAACGTATATATATATATATATATATATATATATATATATATATATATATATATATATATGTGTGTGTGTGTGTGTTTCGTGTGGTTGGTTGTGTGTGTATCTGCGTGTGTGCGGAGAAAGAGATGTGTTTATATACGATGGTGAATCAATACATAGCCTAATTATTACAAATGAATCCATTGTACACATCAAATATTTATTTTTTTAATATATAGATATTTTTTTCAATGATCATAAGCCAAAACTTCTCCATTAACAACATCCATCGAATACATTGCAACGAAAATCTCAAAGAGAGATGAAACAGATAGTTTTCAGACTACGGATATATTGATCTAACTTCATATATATTCATGTAAATCATCATCATTATAATTAGAGAGCGATAGATAGATATCGGCAGGCTGAGCTAGATTGATAGCTAGATAGATATGAGCAGGCTGAGCTAGATAGATGGATAGCTAGATAGATAGATATGAGCAAGGCTGCGCTAGATAGATGGATATATAAGAATAGGCTAAAACAGATAGATATTAACAGATTAATCTATCTATCTATCTATCTATCTATCTATCTATCTATCTATCTATCTATCTATCTATATATATATATATATATACACACACACATATGTATATACCTCTTTATATATAAATATACGTATTAATGTACATATTCTTAAACTCATATGTTTCTATATATTCATACATACATATACGAGAAGTTTATATACTACCGCAATCACACATATGTACATGAGTATACATAGACACGTATATATATATATATATATATATATATATATATATATATATATATATATATATATGTGTGTGTATGTATGTATGTATGTATATATATGTATATGAATCGTATTCAGAATCATATGTATATTTTTCTCACTATATATATGCATATATATATATATATATATATATATATATATATATATACTCCTATGAAAATCATATACATGTCATATACATTGTGAATATATATATATATATATATATATATATATATATATATATATATATATATATATATATATATTAAAACGTTTGTCGGAATTTAATACATACGTCGCCTTTGGCCAATGTGTTTACTTACAGATCTATCAAGAGAGCTATCGTTTGTAAACCGATTTTTTTCTTTTATTGCATTCTGCTCGACAAGCGATTGGAAAAGAGGCAAACGCACCAATGGAAATCAGAATCAAATCGATCTGCCAATCGAATTTTCTTTCGATTGACCCCAGGGACATGAGAAATTATGAAAAGAAAAACTTTGTAGAAATCCAAGACAAATCTCGATAGATTTATTTGTTTCGATCATTCACTTTTAAATTAAAAACGATTATATTTTACAAGTATCCGTTTTTAATTCACTGATTTAGTAATATTACTAACTAAAAGCTTACTTAGCTAAATGGAAGACCATAAAACATTTCGCAAACGAGTTTTAAGTTTAGCTAAATTAAGAAAGATTTTGTTTGGTTTGTTTTGTTTTACGGCATATCAACCTCAATGAGTTATTTAATGCCGACAAAATTTTCATTGTTGGCAATATTTTTTCCCAAAAATCTATTTCTGGTAATATTTTTTCCTTCAAAAATCTTTTTCTGGTAATATCTTTTCCTTCAAAAATCTTTTTCTGGTAAGAATTTTCCTTCGCTTGTAATATTTTTTTTTCAAAAAATGTATTGCTGGTAATAATTTTAAAATAAATTTTATTGTCTTACCCAGGACGCGGATGTAGTTTATCGTCATACCCAGGACGGAAGTCAAGAAAGAAGAATCGAGTCAAAATCATTGGATGCTTTGTAGCCTTAGGTGTTACAGCAGAATTTTAATTCTAGTTGAATACCTTAACAAATTCTAAGGAGTCAAAGACTCCCACTAGGCTAGCCGCGCATCTGGGCCAGAAAGCAGCATATTCATGTCTGTGCTAGATGTACGTTAATCTCATGAAAATTTTCATCCGTTGTTTGACAACTGTTTAATTTAAAATTTTCTCACCAGAAAAGTCTGAACGGGAAATCAGTTCAGTCTTCGATAATACGACTATACGGCAGGTAGAATTGGGTTGGGCAAATAGAAATATCTATTTTTATGTCTGATCTCGATCTTTTTTTAAGGTAGAGCATAACAGAAGGAGTCACTATCTTTTGGAGAGATTCAGGATAAAACTCATTATCACAGGATCTTTAGCAATGGAAGGTATTACGATTTTAACAAATGTTATGGAGGAAACAAGTATTCAAAAAAAGCCACCAAGTATATAGGCTCATTATCTTTTATATATATATATATATATATATATATATATATATATATATATATATATATATATATATATAGATAGTGTGGTAAAAAATGTGTGTATGTCACCACAGAATGTATCCTTTCCGGTTACATCTTTAATGTATTAGACATCCGACAACATTCATATTTTTCTCACTTAAACCGTCTTTGACTAACCTCTCTAAAACTTCTCTCTGTTAAGTTTTAATCACCCACCTTCTCTCGTCTGTTACCACTCTCTTTAGCTCTAACATTCGTTCCACACTCTCATACTTACACTCTCTCTAAATTCTATTTTTTATTTCCGGAGTTGTTTTTTCTGTTTCCTTTTTTGAATTTGTAGGTCTGATGAATTGGATCGTATTTACGATTCCAATGGAATAAATCATGACCATGGAATATTAGTGTTTAAGCCTTTTTATATATATATATATATATATATATATATATATATATATATATAACTCTCTTGTACGGAGCAACTCATTCAAATCGTCAGCAAAGTATTTCAAAACATGCGGGATGAGCAGAACGAGTGGTATTCGTTCTCAAAGTGACTGTGTCTACCAAAAATTTCAGATCATTCAAGTTTAAGAAATCATATCTTGCAAACAGTGTCTCCAAATATTTTCAGATTATTCAAGTTTAAAATCTCACATGTGGACAAATACTAGAGAGAAAGCATTTTCTTGCAATCTGTGTCTCTCAACAATTTCAGATCATTCAACTTTAAAAACTCACACGTGGACACATACTGCAGAGAAACCATTATCTTGCAAATTTTTCCCCAAACATTTTCAGACTATTCAAGTTTAAAAACTCACATGTGGACACAAAATGGAGAGAAAACATTTTCTTGCAAATTGTCTCTCCCAAAATTTTCAGATCATTCAAGTTTAAAAACTTATATGTGGGCACATACTGGAGAGAAACCCTTTTCTTGCAAACTGTGTCTCCCAACATATTCAGATCATTCAATTTTGAAATTTTACATGTGGACACATAATGAAGAGAAAAGATTTTCTTCCAAACTGTGTCTCTCAACATTTTCCGATCATCTAAGTTTAAAAGCTCATATGTTGACACATACTTTAGAGAAAAATATTTTCTTGTAAACTGCATCTCGAAACATTTTCAGATCACTCAATTTAAAAAATCACATGTGAACACATACAGAAAGGGAAACAATTTTCTTGCAAAGAGTGTCTCTCAACATTTTCAGATCAATCAAGTTTTGAAAACTCACATGTGGATACATGCATGAGAGCTACCATTTTCCTGCAAATTGTATCTCAATTTTTTCAGAACATTCAATTTTAAAAACTCACATATTAGAGAGAAACCATTTTCCAGCAAACTGTGTCGGTCAACATATTCAAATAATTCAGGTTTAAAAACTCACATGTGGACACATACAAGAGCGAAACCATTTTCTTGCAAAATATTTTTCTAAACATTATCAGACAATTACAGCTTAAAAACAAATATGTGGACACATACTGAAGAGAAACCATTTCTTGCAAACTGTGTCACCAAACATTTTTAGGCCATTCAAGTTTAAAAAAATCTCACGTGGAAATATCGTGGAAAGAAAACATTTTCTTGCAAATTGTGACTCCCAACTTTTCGAGATCATTCAAGCTTAAAAACTCACATGTAGACACATATTGGAGAGAAACCATTTTTTTGCAAACCTTTTACCAAACATTATCAGACAATTCAAGTTTAAAAACTGATACGTAGACACATACTGGAGAGAAAACATTTTCTTGCAAACCGTGTCTTCCAAAAGTTTTAGATCTTTCAATTTAAAAAAAAGCACATGAGGATATATTCTGGAGAGAAACCATTTTTTCCAAACAGTTTCTCGCAACTTTTTCAGATCATTCAATTTTAAAAACTCATATCTGGACACATACCGGAGAGAAAGAATTTTCTTGCAAACTGTGTCTCCCAAAATTTTCTGTTCATTCAAGTTCAAAAACTCACTTGTGGACACATACTGGAGAGAAACCATTTCCTTGTAAACTGTGTTTCCAAATATTTTCAGATCATTCAATTTAAAATCTCACTCGTGGACACACTGGCGACAAACTAATTTCTTGCAAACAATGTCTCTCAACATTTTCAGATCAATCAAGTTTAGCAAC